TGCGGTCTGAAAGCCACCGTAAGCGTGAACAATCAATTAAGACCCGAAATGGTTGATCAAATCCTTGCAATAATTGCTAAGCCAGAATCCATCTCCTCGGTTGAAATTGTCTCTGTGTTTGTATATGTGGATAGCCTCATTATTGTTTTATTTCATCAACCAATTGGTCCCCCCAGATTTTGTTTACGGAGGCGAACTCCGCGCCGCCTTTTAAGGCGTCGGCAGCATTTGGGTTGATGCAATCGAGCAAACAAAGTCCATCGACAGATGTCTCCTGGAACAATGCGGGGAAAAAAAAAAATCGGGAGGTTCATTTTTTAATTTTTCGGAAATACTTTCGGACGGAGAGTTTACTCCAAGGAGGCTCCGGGTCGCGCATGGCGCCTGCGGTGATATCCTCGGGGTTGGGCAGCGTTTGCGCACTGTCTCCGACCGCACACGCTGGCGGGAAGGCGTCCTTAGGGTAGATAACCGTGACGAAGACGACGACCCAGTGGGAACACAGCTTGAGCGTGAACTTGTGTTGCTGTTACGGAATCGGCCGAGGAAAACCGGCTTTGCCAAAACTCGCCGGCACAAAACCAACGGCTGAAAAACGACGATGTGTGAATACGCACATTCGTGTTTTTGCCCTGACAGCTGCCCACTTTGTCCTGGACTGTATGAAGTTACATTGCCATTAGGAACTAAACCCCCCCCCCATCCCCCTTCTGCTGTCTCCCCGCTCCCAAGTTCCGAATCCTCGGGGAGTAAAGTAAAAATAAAAAAAATGTTGGCGCAATATTTACACCGGGGAGTGGGGGGGGTGGTGGTGGTGGTGGTGGGAGAGGACGGAGCGGAGCGCAGGGTCAGCAGAAGCAGCCAGCGGGCGCCCCCCGCGTTGCCGCATCGTCAAGAGACGCCGCGCCCCTGCCGCGCAACTTCGTGCGAAGTTGCGCGGCGGGGGGAGAGCCGTCGAGGAGCGCCGCCCCCCCCGTGGCAAAGCGCCCGCCGCGAGCGTTTCGGGGTGGGGGGGTGGTGGGGGTTAACATCTCGAGCCACCCGTGTTCGCCTCGAGACGGAAAAACACATCGGCCACAGATCGTCGATTGCGTAATCCCCCCCCACCCCTCACGCCGACTCCACCCCCCACTCCACTCCACGCCCCGCCCCCACTGTTGGAACAAATATTTCTGAGGCCACTTTCGACAGCGATGCACTCACGGCATCTGTTGTTGTTGTTGTTGTTGATTTCTGTGAAATGTGGCGTCGCGGCATATTCCGTGCTTCGTAATCTTACGTCTGTATTTTTCTCCGCGTTTCTGTTCTGTGCGGTCTGGTTGAGCCTCTGGTCAACACGGGCGGCGGCCCTTGAGTCGCACGGCTGATTCTGCCGATGAGTCCCGGATGGTTGAAACCCCGTCCAGAGGTTGATTGCTTCAACAAACGTGATATATTGGTCGGGAAAGCCCATAGACTGATGGATTACATTGCATTTCAATTCATTGTTGTACTCCTAACCTTGCATGCCTATGCCCCCTGCCTGACACTTGTACAGTTTCAATCCAGCAGTGGATCAAGTCCCGCATTGCTTATTGATCAGCTACCGATATTGTCGCGGGCGATGAGCGGGGTCGCGTGCGTTGGCGTACAATGTGCGTAATCTGCCACTTCTTCCGAGACGCCTGGCCGGTGTGGAAGAGTAGGCCAAGCGGCGTCTACGGGGCGGACCCTCTCTAGAGCTCCATCGGGCGGCGGGGGCGGGGGAGGTCCTCCCGTCGGCGAGCAAATTTCCGCGTGTGCGCCTTTATCTCGTGACGATCAAAGCTGTGAAGTCAATCGGTTCGCTGGCTCTCTCTCTCTTTGGTGATTTGTGCAGAAGGAGTAGGACCTGGCATTGAGACCGCCGCGACCTTTTTAAATGCTTCATTCTCGGCATTTCTGATGCGCGAGTGCGCACTGCATTTTCGACGACAAATCAAATTCCCCTCCCGTCCCCGACGGAGATTTATCTGGCCTGACGCTATCTCGCCCGGCCGCGCACATGCGGTTTGCGCCGCGTGGAAGGGTGGGTGGGGAGCTTTTTCAGGCGCACGTGGAATCCACGGGGTGCTTCCTTCACTTTTGTTTCTTGAGGCTGCCTTTCTCAAAAGTCTCCCTAAGGTTGAATCCTTTTGCTGGAATCCGGGGGCCGATGTTGCCGGCGGGGAGCGGGGGGATGTTGGCCAGGGGCGGGGGGGGGCGATGTTGGCCGGTGGAGGGGGGGGGGGTATGCACATCCCGTTTAGAATGCGACACGAAAACCGCGACCACACGGCGTTAGAATTCACGTGGTGGGACCGGTTGCACATTGCATGCGCGGGGTGGGGGGGAGGTGAGGCATCCACGCCGCCACGTCCCCCGACCGGACCGTCGCCGCAGGGCAGACGGACGCGCCGCGGATGCCGAGGGGTCAAGGGTCACGCTGCGCCGCTGCCGCTTGGCCGGCGAGCGAATCGGAGGGCAGGGCGGGCGTCCGCTTGTTTTCGCGTCCAGAAGTTCTAATCAGCGGAACGCAGCAGCGCCGCAGCGCTCGCGCGCGGTTGGCTCCTGCGGTTGTGCTGCTGGGTGTGGGTATTGGGCATGTAACATTTACCCCCACCGCACGGCAGGGGGGAGGGACAGTTGAGCCGCCAAATTCTTCGGGGCCGGTTTGTCCATCATGGACCATTTTTGAAAGATTTTTTTTTTCCCCCCAGCAATGTTAAATTGTAAAAAATGAATAAGTGGACATCCTCGCCGTTTTGTTTCGATATACTGTTTTTATTTTAATCTTGATTTGAAGCTTTCGTGACTGCAGGAATCCATACGATTGCTTGCGTTTCCAAGTCGTGCTCTATTCATTTTTTCTACCTACAGTGAGAAAAAAAGTATTTGATCCCCTGCTGATTTTGTACGTTTGCCCACTGACAAAGAAATGATCAGTCTATAATTTTTATGGTAGGTTTATTTGAACAGTGAGAGACAGAATAACAACAACAAAAATCCAGAAAAACGCATGTCAAAAATGTCATAAATTGATTTGCATTTTAATGAGGGAAATAAGTATTTGACCCTCTCTCAATCAGAAAGATTTCTGACTCCCAGGTGTCTTTTATACAGGTAACGAGCTGAGATTAGGAGCACACTCTTAATGGGAGTGCTCCTAATCTCAGCTTGTTACCTGTATAAAAGGTACCTGTCCACAGAAGCAATCAATCAATCAGATTCCAAACTCTCCACCATGGCCAAGATCAAAGAGCTCTCCAAGGATGTCAGGAACAAGATTGTAGACCTACACAAGGCTGGAATGGGCTACCAGACCATTGCCAAGCAGCTTGGTGAGAAGGTGACAAAAGTTGGTGCGATTATTCGCAAATGGAAGAAACACAAAAGAACTGTCAATCTTCCTCGGCCTGGGGCTCCATGCAAGATCTCACCTTGTGGAGTTGCAAAGATCATGAGAACGGTGAGGAATCAGCCCAGAACTACACGGGAGGATCTTGTCAATGATCTCAAGGCAGCTGGGACCATAGTCACCAAGAAAACAATTTGTAACACACTACGCCGTGAAGTACTGAAATCCTGCAGCGCCCGCAAGGTCCCCCTGCTCAAGAAAGCACATATACATGCCCGTCTGAAGTTTGCCAATGAACATCTGAATGATTTAGAGGACAACTGGGTGAAAGTGTTGTGGTCAGATGGGACCAAAATGGAGCTATTTGGCATCAACTCAACTCGCTGTGTTTGGAGTAGGAGGAATGCTGCCTATAACCCCAAGAACACCATCCCCACCGTCAAACGTGGAGGTGGAAACATTATGCTTTGGGGGTGTTTTTCTGCTAAGGGGACAGGACAACTTCACCGCATCAAAGAGACGATGGACGGGGCCATGTACTGTCAAATCTTGGGTGAGAACCTTCCCTCAGCCAGGGCATTGAAAATGGGTCATGGATGGGTATTCCAGCATGACAATGACCCAAAACACGCGGCCAAGGCAACAAAGGAGTGGCTCAAGAAGAAGCACATTAAGGTCCTGGAGTGGCCTAGCCAGTCTCCAGACCTTAATCCCATAGAAAATATGTGGAGGGAACTGAAGGTTCGAGTTGCCAAACGTCAGCCTCGAAACCTTAATGACTTGGAGAAGATCTGCAAGGAGGAGTGGGACAAAATCCCTCCTGAGATGTGTGCATACCTGGTGGCCAACTACAAGAAACGTCTAACCTCTGTGATTGCCAACAAGGGTTTTGCCACCAAGTACTAAGTCATGTTTTGCAGAGGGGTCAAATACTTATTTCCCTAATTAAAATGCAAATCAATTTATGACATTTTAGACATGCGTTTTTATGGATTTTGTTGTTGTTATTCTGTCTCTCACTGTTCAAACAAACCTACCATTAAAATTATAGACTGATAATTTCTTTGTCAGTGGGCAAACGTACAAAATCAGCAGGGGATCAAATACTTTTTGCCTCACTGTACGTGACTTTACCGAAAGAACCAAAGACTACCGGTATACTTTTTATTTTCTTTCTTTCTTTAGCTTCCAGGGAAATGTTCACACTTCTGAGGGTTACAACTGTAACGGTAACGCCTTTGGGCCTCTGCTCAGCCACCGTGATAAAGCAAAAAATACTTTGCGCACGCTGTCCCAGCGGCGGTGTAACGGTCAGCACGCCGCTGCTGGCAACCCAGAGGTGGCCGGTTCGACTCCATCTCCATGCGCGGAAGTTGAAACAATGGGGCGAGTTTCGTACAATCCCTCCCCCCCCTCCCCCTTACCGCCTCTGTCCACCCAGCCGTACGAATGGGCGCACGCCTGGGGTGAAGTGTGGCTACGCCCGCGTCTTCCAAGACGGTCCGGCTCGTGTGGAAGACTAGGCCAAAACACCCTGTCTCGAGCGTAGGCCCATTCCGCCAGCGGCGCGCCGAGCGAGCGAGCGATGGCGGAGGCTGAGCGGACGCGGTGACGGTGACGCGGCGCCTCTGTGCTCCCTCCGCAGACATTCTACTGATGTACCACAGCCTCTTCGCGCTCTCCAACGAAGACGTGGCCCTCTGGTATTCCCCGAGTCACAACTTCAAGGTGGAGCCCTCCGCCTCCGTCATCGTCACCTTCCGCATCCGGTGAGACTCCTCCTCCAGCCCCCCCACTCCCGGACGCGCGTCTCCAACTGAACCCAACCAAACAATATATATGTAAATAATAACAAATCCGGCAAGCCAATCTAGTAATGGATCAGCGACTATTCTGTTAACCAAGTTAGGTTCGTGAAAACCAGTGGGCGGTGTGGGGGGGGGGACGCTGGTGGAGGCAGCTGCATGGATACCGTGCAGGATAAAAAAAGTGCATTCTGAACAGGAGTAACACGTGAAACGAACACCTTGCGTGAATGCTGACGTCGCGTGGACGAGATGCGTGGACACGCGGACTCTCTCTCCCTGTGTTGTGGGGGGGGGGGGGCGGTCGCCAACCATGTGGTTAGGGGGTTTTGTATATTTCTTTGAGAGTGCATGAAGTGTCCTCTCAGACAAGACACACAGACACGGACACAGAAGACCACAATATTTCCCAAGCAAGGCATTGTGCAGTAATAATTGTCACCGTTGACAGAGCGTGGTGGTGACTCTTCATGGCTGTTCGTGGCTCCTCGTGGCCCTGTCACTCTGCGTGGCTCTGTGTGGCTCTGTGTGGCCCTGTCGCTCTGCGTGGCCCTCTGTGGCTCTGTGTGGCCCTGTCGCTCTGCGTGGCCCTGTGTGGCTCTGTGTGGCCCTGTCGCTCTGCGTGGCCCTGTGTGGCTCTGTGTGGCCCTGTCACTCTGCGTGGCCCTGTGTGGCTCTGTGTGGCCCTGTCGCTCTGCGTGGCCCTGTGTGGCTCTGTGTGGCCCTGTCGCTCTGCTTGACTCTGTGTGGCTCTGTGTGGCCCTGTCGCTCTGCGTGGCCCTGTGTGGCTCTGTATGGCCCTGTCACTCTGCGTGGCCCTGTGTGGCTCTGTGTGGCCCTGTCACTCTGTGTGGCCCTGTGTGGCTCTGTGTGGCCCTGTCGCTCTGCGTGGCCCTGTGTGGCTCTGTGTGGCCCTGTGGCTCTGTGTGGCCCTGTGTGGCTCTGTGTGGCCCTGTCGCTCTGCGTGGCCCTGTGTGGCTCTGTGTGGCCCTGTGGCTCTGTGTGGCCCTGTGTGGCTCTGTGTGGCCCTGTCGCTCTGCGTGGCCCTGTGTGGCTCTGTGTGGCCCTGTCACTCTGCGTGGCCCTGTGTGGCTTTGTGTGGCCCTGTCGCTCTGCGTGGCCCTGTGTGGCTCTGTGTGGCCCTGTCGCTCTGCGTGGCCCTGTGTGGCTCTGTGTGGCCCTGTCGCTCTGCTTGACTCTGCTGACGCCGAGCGCGTACGTCTGGCCGCCGCCATGCGGCACACAAATCGCACTCCCCCCCCCCCTCCCCCCACCGAGAAACCACCAGGACGCGAGCGATGAATACCAGGCGACTGCCGCAGGTGCTCACAGCAGCGAGAGGAACGCGGCGCGCATTGGCAGCGCTCTTAAAATCGCACGCAACTCGAACAAAAATAAACCAGTCTCTTCCACTCCTCGCTACCTGCGAGGGATGCATACATACCACAGGTTGGGAACTGCTGTTGTAGCAACGACAATAAAAAAAAAACCCTCCTTTGAATTGACGCCAAAAACCTAACCTGGCACGGGGTAGGGGGGGGCGTGAACCGGAGACACAGGGAGGGGGCACGGCAGCCCGGCCTTAAGATAGTCCCGAGTCCTGGCAGCGTCGCATTGCAGCGACCGCGGCGCGGGGCGCACAGGCCGAGCGGCGCGCGAGCCGGCGCCGGTTTTATATCTGGGTGAAAGCAACACATGCGTGTGCGTGTTCGTGTGTGTACGTGAGTGCAAGTGATACGTGCGCGCACGTGCGTGTCCGTGCATGTAAACGTGTGTGTGGGGGAGCGTTGGCGTGGCGGTTACCGCGCTGCGCTACGAACCTGGCGCCGACCCGAGTTCGAATCCCGCTCGCGACCGATAACAGTGGCGAATATATTGAACCCGTCCTGGGCCTCCCCTAGGTCGACTCGGCCTTAAATGAGTATCCGGCGCGGTGGGTAGACATCGTCACCGAGGAGACAAATGCGGCCGGGCGTGTGGTGTTAGCTACCCACCCACGCCTCGTGTGCCGAGCAAGCCTTAATAGGTGCTCACTAACAGCCGTTGACCCAACAGTCTGTGAGAAGCTACACGGGGTGGGGGGGGGGGGTGATCTTTGTATTTGTGGAGAGCGTGTAATTTTTCCCCATTTCCAACGATAATGTCCACATTTGTGTTTGAGGCCAAAGATCGTTCATCACCGCGCTTACTTTCATACTCGCAGCTGGAATTCGGCAAAATGAAGTGAAATTACGTTTGGTGGGGCGGGGGGGGGGGCGGGCGGGCGGGGGGGTTTTAATGTTTTTTTGTGAAGTCACCGGTCGACTGCGCCGGGGGGAGCATCATCTCGCTGCGCCTGAGGGCGCGGTTCAACCGCAACCCGGGGTCGAACCCAGGGATCTATGTCCGCGGCGCGGCGCTCTGACCTCCGGAGCCACGCGGCCGCCCCTTTCAAGCTTAGTTGAAGGGGGCACGAAGAGGAGGGGAGGCCGTGGGGGGGGGGGCAGTGAGGGGTGAGGGGGGGAGGCCTTCTGGGTCAGATGTCTGCATAGAGGAGAGAGGTTCACGTTGCAAGTTTACTTTGTAATAATAGGGTTTTTCCCCTTTTTTCTGGCAACAAAACTGAAACCTTTTTTACAAGGATTCATGTCTGCATTAACCACAATACCTGCAGTCAAAATGCAAACAAAAAACATACTATGATAATATATGCATTGTCCTTGAAACTGATTGGTCCACACCAAGGGACGGCTTTCTTTTGAGCCTCGACCCAATTGGTACTCGACCAGATGACGCCTTTTTGGTACAGGCAAAAGAGGTCTAATGATGAAGTTTATTTTGTTTGAGCACGGGGAGATGTCGCCTAACGAGTCTTCATTTGCAAGTGGCACCTGGGTCACCAGAATGACAAAGGGCGAAACAATTAAAGTCTCGCGGTCATTAAGGAAATAGAAATATGAGCAAAACAAAAACGACGGCGTCCAATGATAAATCGTAAATATTGCACAAACGAGAGTTTCTTGATCCATGGGGTGTGTGTGTTTCATGTAGATGACTTGAAAAACTAAACTTTATTGTACCAGGTAAGGCCCACTGAGCTATGTAGCTCTTTTTCAGAAGCGACCTGGCCACAAATGGCAGCTCAACGAAGCGTCTTATCGTGTGGACATTTCTAGCAGCAGCCAACTACACATTAAAGGCGTGTTTCTCAATGTGGGGGGGGGGGGGGATATCGGAGGACCCGGAGAAAAAGCCACGTGGCCACTCGGGGAGAAGGAGTGAGAGGACCGGGATGGTGTGACCTGGGTCTCCGGAATGACACAAGCAAAACAATAAAAGGACGGGGATATGCGTACGCTTTGTTGAACTTCTTTCGCACCCCACGTAGCCAACCGTGCTAATCGGAGGTGCGGGAATGGAAGCGAATAGAACATGGTGAGAATATAAATCGACTGTGTCGTACGACGAGCAATCCTGAACGTTTGCATCGCGGGAGGAGGAGAGCGGGACGCGTGCGCGGAGGTGGATGGAGGCAGCCGTGCGGATGAGTGGATAGGGCTGTTCCAGATCCCACAAGTGGCGGCAGAGAGAAAGAGAGGAGCGACCTCCCCGTGACACTTGAGAACCGCAGTTGATTCTTGAGAACCCCTGGCGAATCGCCTCTCGGCGGAAACCGCGATTCAAGCCCAGGGTTAGCATCGTCTCAACTTGGCCTCCCCGAACCAGCCGGCCGCCTGATATCCCCCCACGCATTACTCCCGAGGGCCCGATGGGGGCAGGGGGGGGGGGGTGCCTCCAGTGCTGCCTTACAGGAAGCGCCGCTCGAAGAGGTTGAGAGAGAGAGAGAGAGAACAGCAAGCCGTACGATGCGGCACTGTCACGGCACCGCGCAGCAGCTGGTGCCGCAGGGGAAGTTCCGAGGGTTGCGACGAGGGCGCGTGGCCGTTGTCGGCCGCGGCGAACGACGGCGAGACTGCTCCGAGCTTTCGTCACGGATCTCGGCGGCTGACGGGATTCGCTCGCCGCGCGGAGGCGGAGAGAGAGGAGAGGGGGAAAGCTTCGCAGTGAGTTTGCTCGCTGCCAGTTCCAGCCCGACCGTGGTTAAACCGCTCGAGTCCAGCGAGTCCGCGGACTCGGCCCGGCCGCCAGTACCTCGCGCAGAGACCCCTAGACTGCCACAGAGACCCACGTAGAGACCCACAGACTCGCACAGACTACAGGAAAGTGGTTCCCTCTACTCGAGTGCCGCTCCCCTCTTGGGCTCTAGCCGGCGCGGCGAGGTTAGCAACTGGGGGGCGCGGGGGGGGGGGCTGGCAGCTGTGGAACCGGGACAACGGTGGTCCACGCACTCTCACACAGAAAGGTCACGCCGGGTAACCCCGCTCACCAAGGAGAATTGTCTCGAGGGACGTTGTGACATCATTTGCAAGGATATGCGCCTGCTGTGCATGGGCGTCGATGTGAAATACACCTCGGGGCGAAGTGCAAATGAAACATTACCCAGCGCTGAATGAATATGATAACGATAATCACGGCCTTTTGTCAGTCGGCTGCTGGATGAAGACATCCGCACCATGTGCAGTAGATCGCGGGGTTGCTGCTTTTTGACCACTCATTGCCGTCCGGGTCTCGGTCGTCGGGTTAGATTTCGCGAGGCCCGTTGAGCCGGGAAGCTCTCTTTCCAGGGACGACCGTGCCCGGAAGGTGGAATCTCGCCGGCGACGCCGCGGGTTTGTGTGGCCCGCGTCACTGCACGGCAATGGGCTTACGGACTACGGGGGAGGCGATACGTTCAGGTGTCTCACGAGTGTGGAAACGGAGCCCTCCTCCTCCGTGAGAGCGCCGTGTAAAAACTCCCTTGGGCAAAGCTGCGGTAAAACATCGAGGGCGGTGCTTTATGATAGAGGCACGGCAGAAGCAGGAGCGGTGGCATTTGGGGCGGAGGGGGGACGACACCGGGGCTGAACTTTGTAACCGGAATAACC